AAAAAAAAAAAAAATAGGCTAGGACATATCTCTGTGTACTTACCAGTCTTTCCCCAGGATAGTGGTGTTCAGGTGTGAGCAGTAGGAATGTTTGATTTCATGCTGGGTAGTCACAACCAGCGTTTTGAGTGTGAGGGTGAAGTAGGCTGCGTATTTTACAATGAAGAAAACCCAAATATGTGCTGTTAAAACATACAGAGCTAAAATGCAACCAACTTCATAGGTGATGTGAAGGTATAGTGATCTGTGAAGTCATACTGGGCAAATCGGAACCACCCAAAATCCAGCTTAGCAATATTGATTTGAGGCCGAAAAAGAAAAAAGTAACAGGTATACAAAGTTAGACTACATGATATGGATAGTTGTAATTCACTGAGTTGATATAGTGGTCATTAATTCATATATACCTTACATTATAGCTCAAAATAAAAATAAAGAACTGACACAACTGTAATAAATTTTTAGATCTACATTCATGTGGGAGATTCCAACAAGTGGCCATTGATAACTGAGACATCATGTGCCAACGAATACTTATTATAGATGATAAATAGAATATTTGCATTCTACAGTTTGGAAAGATAAGCCAATTGATATGCACATATAGAATTCACCCAGCAAATAAATTTACAAAGCGTGGATCTTTTACAAAAATGGATTTGTTCACAGATAATCTTGTGATTCGCAGATCACAGATAATCTTAAATTCTCTGTACATAATCTAATTAGTAAAATTAGAAATCCAGAGTAAACAGGTTATTTAAAAGATAGAAATCCTATACATTGAAAATCGTACAAAAATGTACTTTGTGTTAAAGAGGACCTTACTTTTAAAATCTTGGAACAGAACAGAGCATTACTAAGAATACTACAAAACCAAACTTGTGAAAAAACAGCTAAAGCTATGCTTACAGGTCAAGCAGCAACCTTAGTTATGATTTAACTATTTTCTGTGTATTTTTTACCCAGGAACACTTGACTGGGAAGCAGTGAGTCTGGCATTTGAATTCAAGTCTCTTTCATTCAGCCTCTTGCTCTTAGTTGAAATTCCAAATACAGTTTGTGCATTTTCTAGGAAATTGTTTCTTTGCTTAGTTTGGTGCTTTGTGAAGCTGCTCCTTCGTTAGCGACACCTTTCAAAAGTCTTAGGGTACTATCCATTTCATACTCAGAGATAGTGAAGTGGTTTGTATTCATTTTAATACACGAACCCTATTTTAAGTAGCCATTAAAAGCACAATGTTTTGTTCTCTGTTTTAGATTGATTACTCTCATCACTAACAAGCTTGTTCCTATGTGTAATATATCATCAAAATGTTTATAGCATTATGTGAATGTTTAGTTAACTCAGAATACTTCCTACATTTATAATTGGAAAGAACAGTGTGAAGTTGTTAGAATCCTATGGGCCTGCAGGAAAGACGGAATTCTGAGTTAATAACTTAGCTTGTCATGTTTCTGTTTCAGTGGACATTCAAGCTTACTGGTATTTTAATTACGTGATTCTAGAGATTCTAAGGAAGATATAACAATTTGATTCTGCAGTTTTCTTCAGCATGACAAAAGATTAAGCAAATACTTGTAAAGGAAGGAAGAAATACACCTTATAAGATAAACCTGCACTTAAAACCTGTATGAAGTATAAAAGTTGCAGTTTGCTGTTACAAACCAACCTTGTACTGTTTAGACAAACCCATGTCTGCCATTTGAGACCTGTCATTCCCATTCGATCCATATGTCTGGTCATTTTCAAAATTACTTTGGACTGTCTATATAACAAGTTTATCTGAGCACACCTTTTCCATTCAGTAAGACCATAAGCTGATGCCACTCGTTTGTCATTTTTTTTTCATTTTGCCTTTTTTTTGTTGTTGTTCATGAAAAGGCTGTATTATTCCATCTCACTCACCCAAATTCGTTTGCTAAAGTGACCCAAAATACATTTTTGGGATTACTTTTGAAGTATTATCTTTGTATTCCAAAGCAGGCCCTTCCGAAACTGATGATGTTGATGACAAACTCCCCCTTTCGAAGTCTTTACAAGGTATAACCTCTTCACTTCTGTTTTCCCACATACTGTTCTCATGTTATGTTCTTTATATTGCACAGACTGTGTTTTAGTATTTTATCTGTATTGTTACTTTTCTAAATGGAAAAGGAAAAAAATGTATTGGCCTTTTTTTTAAACATAAATGAACTTCACAAGCAACAATTTTTCAAAACCAATTTTCCCTTTTGTGAATCTAGTAATGAATCTCGAAATGGGTACATGACACACTTTCATATTTAAGGTAAAGTACACATTTATACCTTATATCAGAATAGTCAGAAATAAGGTTTTTATTGTGTAGTTAGGAATGTAAATATCGATAAGGTCATGTTGATTCTTAATTTTTAGAAAGATTGTGAAATGCCACTTTGTAAATGAATCCCAAAGTTTGCTACTTGAATACTTTTCTGGAAATTGTTGTATAGAGTGCCCTAACTTGATGATCATAGGCTATTTGTGATGGCTTTTACTTTTATCTATTCTTTGGGTGGGATTTCTTT